TGCTATTCTTGATGTACCACTACTTCAATGCTAAAGAGATCTACAATGCAATTCGTGTGTTCATTGCTGCATATGTCTGGATGACTGGATTTGGTAACTTCTCCTATTATTATGTGCGGAAGGATTTCAGTCTGGGACGATTTGCTCAGGTCCATTCTTAATTAGTCCAATTGTTCTTTCTTTTCATCCGCAGAAATTTACTAACATGGCTGCACCTTCAACAGATGATGTGGCGCCTCAATTTCTTTGTGGCATTCTGTTGCATTGTCCTAAATAATGATTACACACTATATTATATTTGCCCTATGCACACTCTTTTCACCCTCATGGTGTATGGTGCTCTTGGAATTCTAAACAAGTATAATGAGATTACATCAGTGATTGCTATAAAATTTGTTGGGTGCTTCTTGGTAGTTATCTTGGTATGGGAAATCCCAGGCGTCTTTGAGATAGTCTGGAGCCCATTCACTTTTCTTCTAGGTCAGTTTTCCTTCAGTAACAGTTAGTGAGTTTGCTAGTCTGCATTTTTTTTCTTCAATGGAACTTAGCAATGTTATTCGTCTTGTGTGCAGGTTATGATGATCCTTCTAAACCAGATCTCCCCAGGTTGCATGAGTGGCACTTCCGATCTGGACTGGATCGCTACATATGGATTGTGGGGATGATATATGCCTATTACCATCCAACGGTATGTTCCGTACAACTTGTTTTATGCAGTATGCTGGCATAACTGATATGTTTTTTTAAATCCAAAGATAGTTTCAATTTCATCAAAATTATCAAAAGAGCGGGTGAAATGTGTTTGACATCTCCATGTCATAGGTTGAGAAGTGGATGGAAAAGCTTGAAGAAGCTGAAACAAGAACGAAACTCTATATTAAGGCCTCTACAGTTACAGTTTCTTTAACGGTAATTATCAAACATCTACAGCAAATTGTCTGTCATAGATATATTTTGATACGATCTGCTGGCTTTCTGGTGAACACAGGCTGGGTATTTGTGGTATGAGTACATCTATAAGCTGGACAAGATTACCTACAATAAATACCATCCCTACACATCCTGGATTCCCATAACGTATGTATCTTTCCTGTTTGTGTCGAGTATAAATCCATCTGTATACTGTTAAATCTGATTGATCCATGTGTGTTGCATTCAAAAGTGTTTACATCTGCCTGCGCAACTTCACTCAAGAATTCCGGGCATGCTCTCTAACGCTATTTGCGTAAGTTTTGTGTTAACAGAGCAAGTTATATCGTTATGACTAAATGTAATGCTAATGATCTATGAATATGCGACTAACACATGCTTGTTGATTTGTTTGTTCTAGCTGGCTTGGAAAGATTACACTAGAAACATATATATCTCAGTTCCATATCTGGCTCAGGTACCATATGCAGTTTCGGTACTTTATAGGTTCTGCCATTTGTGCCACTGGATAATTGCCTTCAGATTTTAAATGAATGAAACTTATTTTGTTTGCTTTGATGACTCTTGAAGATCAAAGGTGCCCAATGGGCAACCCAAGTGGCTATTGACAATAATCCCAGATTACCCACTACTTAACTTCATGCTCACTACTGCGCTATATGTTGCGGTATGTGCACTTTCCCCATGTATGACATTGAAGAATTTAGTCCGTAAAGCGACTTGCTTATGCCAGCATGTGTTTCTGCAGGTTTCCCATAGGCTCTTCGAACTGACTAATGCTTTGAAGATAGCATTTGTACCTCGTGATAACAAGCGCCTCTCATACAATTTTGTCACAGGGATTGCCATTTCAGTTGCACTCTACTCTGTATCATTTGCCTTAGTTGGCATAGCAGGATACTAGCAAATCTAGCCATTAGTTTGTTAGTTCTAGTTATAGTCTACGGTGTCAACAAAGCTAGTTTGATTGTCGGTGAGATAAATGTCAACAGGCGAAGCATGATGCACATCGCATAAACTGCCTCTCTTTCACCTTGGACTTGAGTCGGCGTGCAAAAGTTTAGTCTTGAAGAGTGTAAAATGTACAATGTGCCCCAAGTGGGAATATGATAAGGGTACACATATGTACACACACGTCCTTGACATTGTCGGTCGTGATTGTAATTCTTGTGGTTGAGTAATACAAGAATTTATCACCAAAAAAAAGTACTAGTATAGCTGTTGAAATGCATACCAGAGCGAGCACTTGGCAACTCCAACGTGGATCATCAAATTGCTTGAAAATGTCTGGATTGGACGGTCCTGACACTTTTAGCCATCCAACATAGCTTACCAATTCCGTCCACCAGACGTTTAAAATCCTACAAACTGACAACAAATCAGGGGAGGCCTATGGGAGTTCGGGCTTGACACCCTGGCCCACCCAAAACCATGGCGGAGTGTGCACATTTGGATACTCTGCTCCAGTATTCCTGTGTTAACTGAAACCCTAGCCTACCCAAAACCATGGCGGAGTGCGCAAATTTGGACATTCTGCTCCACTATTCCTGTGTGAAAGCCTGCCCTCTCTGTCCCGATAGCAGGCGCCCCACCCGGTCTTTCATTGCTTGTTTTGTCGCCGACGTGATGGATCGACGGGATTCGTTCGGGGGGTTCATGGTTCCTTCAAGCCGGAGATGGTCATGTGCGTGGCCGTGTCCGCGGAGTGGCAAGGCCAGACCGTGAAGGCGAGGGAGATGAAGGCACTGGCAGTCGAAGCTTGTCCTACAAAGAAGGTGTCGGTGCCGCCCGAACAATCACAAATTCACAAAGCCCCCTCCCAATACAAGCCGCCCTACTATCACGTCGACCATCTACACAGTCAGCCTGACACACAACAGTCATGTAGCACTCAGTCACCTCCTCCAGCTATCCTCGACCGTCTGCTCGTGGTTTCCATCCACGAGCCCTCATCTGTAGGTGGGACGCGGATCCTCTGCCATGCGGCAGGGTGCCGTTCGGCGATTGACAGGTGGGCTCGCTGTGAATCAGCCCCACATGCTAGTGTCCCCAACGGCGTGTAACGTACGTCAGGGGAGCTGCTTCCCTGTAGGTGCGCAGTCACTGTTCGGTGGAATGCCTCCCATGTTCGATGGCACCACACACGAGGCTATGATGAATGTGGAGCAAACGGACATAGAAATGGACATAACCGTACAAAGAAAGCCACATAATCCAAACATAGATCAAAAGAGCATCACAATTCAACTGACAGACATAGTTCTAAACTAAAATTATTAAAAACAGAAATAAAGACGAAGAGAGTCGAGCTTCTCCGGTCACCAGCGCAACTGTAGCCCTCCGTGTATGAAGTCAGCCTGGTGTGGCCCTGGGCCACTTGGCCAAGTACCAACGGCAGCTATGTCGATTCTTTGCGCGACTTGCTTAAGCTGACGATGGCGTTGATGTCTCCATGTCGCCGTGGAGCACGTCGCCTTGACGGCGGAGCTGAGCCGCCAAGGTGCTCAAATTGATTAAGAACTTTGCCAACGCCACACACGCGTTGTACACGCAGCAGGGCAATGAACCAATTTTTTTTTTTGTTGTTGTAGCTACCCATTCGATATAGAAGAATTTAAATTTGAGAATCAAAGGTTCACAAAAATAGAACTTCTCGACTTTTACACACTTCTATTTTCTTTTTGGAATGAACACATCATTCAGTTTGGCATACGAAGTACTAAAAATTTCATCAAAAACTTATAACAACTTGTCAAACAAAGGCCAATAGAAAAAAGAATAGAGGTATAACAAGCATAATATCCATGATTGGATTGAAAATAGCATAAAATTTTCAGGCAATTTGGCAAAGGAAAAATTCATATGTATGAAATACGTATGTGGAATTCGCTAGAATTTCATGTGATTCAGTAAACAGAATGGAATGTTTCTTTGATAATGGAGAGTGAGCTGATAATGGAATTTTTCTTTGATAAGAAGGAAAGTTAAGATAGGTATTGATGAAGAGTGAGCTGGTGGTGGAATTTTTCTTTGATAAGTAGGAAACTTAAGATTAAATGCTTCAGAATGTGAGCGAAAAAAATGTTTACAATGCCTAGATTTAGTCAGATCCAACTCAAGGGATTTTATAGGTTTATTAATCAAGCCTTGGCAGAAGAACTCGACAAGTCTTCAACAATTAAAAATCCAGATAACGAAATTCAATTATACTCTCTCTGTACCGAAATACATGTCGTTGGAGTAGCTGAAGTTCAGACCACCGGACACCTGCCAGGCATGGGCCGCCTCACCACTGCCATCCACAACGGGCACAACCACCGGCGAGGCACCTCCCGTGGGAGTGCACCGAGCCCCCACCATCGGAGGGGAGATCCGACCATCGGTGGGAGCACCAGGGGAGAAGGGGAGGAGAGAAAGGTGGCCGGCGGCTCCAGAATGGCCGAGGCCGACGGGAATTTTTTTTCTCACCTTTTCATTTTGCAAAAGCACTTCGCAGTTTGACCGGTCAATTAATTCCACTCAGGCCGAATACGCATAGCACACGTAAACAGTGGCCGTATCCTGAGAGCATGTAGTGACATTTCCTGTATCCGTATCTAACAAATCTAAGACGTGACCCTAAGTCATATTTTCTGTATTCAAACCTAAAACAAATCTAAGACAAATAATTCAGGACGGGGGGAGTAATTTCCTGACTAGTTACACAAGTTGTCTCAAAAGGAAGTAAACACAGTACGATGTCAGCAATTCCATGAAAACTAGCCAAAAGGATGCTGAAGTACAAAGTAAACAACAGCGTTTGATACACCAAAAATATGGAGACCGACACATAATTAATGTATGATAACCTACACCTTCTAAAACAGAGGGAAAACAAGCATCTACTCCATAATTCGTAATGCAGTAGCAGAGGGACATTTGACATATGTCGTATATAGTGATTTCACCATCCACAATACTGGAAAACTACTACATGGAAGATATCATGACAATGGTGGAGGCCAACAGTGATGTCCAAAGCCTTTGGCGGCGCTGCCCACATTCCAAGGGACCAGAAGAATGACATCAATTCAGTTCCTACTAGCAGCTCTTTCCCTCTCCCTCTTATTGTGTAGCCTCTCAAGAACACGCTTGGCCTCACATGATGGGAAATTGGTCAGATCATAGTACTGTGGAGCTATATCGATCAGCCTGGGAACAGAACACAGAGAAAGGTCAACATTGTCAATCAAATACCCAATTGGACAAGTTTCATTTCAGACTTTAGACGAGGACTTACCACTCTCCACGGATATCGGTGACTGTGCGGATGAAATTCCTGGTGGTCAAAACATATTCATTGTAGATGACCCATTCCGGCTTATGGTCCATGCAATTCGAGGGATGAAGATGGACAACCTGGCAAGGAAAGAAGGGTGAAAAGCTGCAATACAATACTCCATAATAATAAAGGAAATAAAAGAGACAAAAATCAGAATACCAACCTGATTATCCTTAACGGTCAAGTAATGCCCAGTTCGCTCCAGATGAGCAACCTGCATAAAGTACCCTGAAAGCATTGCTTTCCTGATGTTGACATAGTACTCACGACTGTTGAAGTCTGTACTGCACATCTTGAGGTTGAATCTGGTCATGATGCGCACAAGTTGTTGTCTAACATTATCAGCAGACTTCATCGCCCGGGCATTGACAAAATTCTCATAACACCATGTAGGATCCTCATCTGCATAGTGAAGGAAGAGTCTGTTAGCCCCCAAAAAATTGCAGTCTGACCGGGTGTAGATCGAATGAGAATGGTTATAGGCTTACTGTTTTGCTTGTATGCATGGTACACGTTCAAAAGTGTCAGATGATCCCCATCGATGTGCCCAAATCGAGCCTTCGCCTCATCAGCAGCCTTTTGTGCCTCCCTAGGCCGGAGAAAGCAATTGGGTACTAGACAAAGGATATGGTAATAACAGACGAAGCCCACGGTTGGTCAGCAGATGCAAAGAGGCGAGACGATACCATTTGCTTTGTCAGAATAACTCAACATACAGCAACTATCTGCATCAGCCTAAACTGTATGATCATTTTGATCAATAGCTAGAAGCCAGGTGCATGACAGTTGCTGATGACAATACACAATATATACAAACAAGAGAAAATAGAAAACATGCACTAGTCTGCATGCTAGAACCATGGCAACTTGCTTGCACACACAGGTGCAAGCAAAACAGTGCATGTGCATAACAACATGATAATGTAGTTACAGAAATGCAAATGGAAAGGAATTGTTAGTTGACATACCTGATAGCATGGCAGATATTGAGAGGATCTCATTTGAACAGTTGTACCTTGGACTGATGACAAGCATCTTTGACATCTGTGGGTCTAAGGGGAACTCACTCATCATTTCACCTAAAGATGTTAGGTTGCCTTCATCGTCGAGTGCCCCCAAGTAGTTCAGAACTTCCAAGGCCCTCATTAGAGTTTCGGGCGCAGGAGGATCCATGAAGTCAAAATGCACTAAATCATCAATTCCAAGCTTCTTCAGAGTAAGAACTGTATTTGCCAAGTTTGACCGAAGAATTTCTGGGTAGGTCTGTGGCTGTAAATCACCATTAAAACTCTTCTCTGTGTACAACCTGAAGCACTTCCCAGGCTGTGTTCTTCCAGCACGACCAGCTCGCTGATGCGCACTTGCCTTGGAAATTGGAGACACCAAAAGGGATTCCACCCTTATCCTTGGATTGTAAACCTTCTGTTTGGAAAACCCTGGATCTATAACATACACTATACCATCAATGGTTAGGGATGTCTCAGCAATGTTTGTGGACACAACAATTTTCCTTCCAGCAGGACCTCCCTCTTTCAATGGAGGTGGAGCAGGGTCAAAAATCTTCTGCTGCATTGCAGGGGGGAGAGTAGAGTACAATGGCACGACTTTAACTGGGCCAACCTGATCACCCATGTTATTAACTTCCTTGTTTATTTTCCGACACGCATCCTCAATCTCCTCTTCTCCAGTAAGGAATACAAGGATATCACCAGCAGGTTCACACATATGTATCTGCACAACTGTCCTGATAGCAGCTTCTAGATAGTCCCTTTCTGGTTCCTGTGTATAGAAGATCTCAACAGGATGAAGTCTACCAGGAACCTTCATCAATGGTGCACCACTGAAATAACCCTGAAACTTCTCTGCCTCAAGAGTAGCACTCATAACAACAAGCTTCAAGTCAGGCCTGTTCTTTAGAACTTCCTTCAGAAGCCCAAACAGAACATCCGTTGCCAACGTGCGCTCATGAGCCTCGTCAAGAACAATCACCTTGTACCTCTCTAAAAGTGGGTCTGCCATTGCTTCTCTCAGAAGCATACCATCTGTCAAATATCTGATAGGAAGCAATAGTGTTCAACACAACATGATTAGATCAGAATACCTAAAAAAACAAAAGAAACATACACTTCATATCAATCAGCCAAAAGGGTGGTGCAACTGATACTGTTCTTCCACGAAATACAAGAACCAACAATCTTACTTGAGAACAGTTTTGTGACTGCTGCAATCTTCAAATCGGATACTGTAACCAACTTCCTCCCCGATTGTGACATCCATCTCCTCCGCGACACGCCGAGAGACCGACATTGCAGCAACCCTCCGCGGCTGGGTGCAGGCAACCATAGAGCGGTTGCTCAAACCTTCAGCCTCGAGCACAAATTGGGGGATCTGTTCCACACAGAACAATCAATCATCGGAACAAACCAATCAATAAGGACAGACACCTCACAAGCATTAACCTAACAAATTCACCACAGCACCAGGCATCTAGCCTCTAGAACACCTCCTAACTTCTCAATCCGAAAATTGAGGGCACAAACCAGTAACCTAAGCAACACATACATGGAGACGTATCGGATATAGGTGCAGATATAGTACCTGAGTGGTCTTGCCACTTCCGGTTTCTCCGACAAGGATGAGGGTCTGGTTGTCGCGGAGGACGCGGAGGAACTCGTCCTTCTGCTGCCAGACGGGGAGCGTGCGGCGCTTCTCGAGGATCTCTAGGTACCGCGCCGAGTAGGGCCGGCCGTTCCACCGGTTGATGGACGGATTGGCCGCGGCGGCGGCGGCGGCGGCGGCGGCACCATTGATGCCGGCGCGGCCGAGCTTAGCGGATACGGAGGTCTCGTCAACCACGTCGAAGAGGCTCACCTTGCGCTTCCGCTCCGTCCCCATGGCGGCGGCGAGAGAGGTCGCTGGTGCGCGGAGGAGGAATAGGCGGGAGAGAGGCGAAACCCTAGCTCCCGTTTCTGGAAGAATCGCCGGATTTATATTTGTGAATTGCGCGACTATTAGGTCGGCGTGAGGCTGCGAGATGGGACTCCGCTCGCGTGGTAGCGGGTTTCCGTGGTTTTCGTTTACCAGCCTGGAAGGCGCCCTATGTGACCCTGCACTTGCAGCCCCTATCGCGTTCGGTTTTCGTGAACGTGTAAAACTTGGTCTCAGGCTCGATTACGTTTTGTTTTTTGCGAATGTTTTTTTTTCCTTTTCTGCGAATGAGGCTCGATTACGTTGTGCCAGAGCCACTCACTCAAGCTCGGTCCACGGCTCGATTACCGTGTTTTTTTATCAGTAACTTTATTCCTCAAATGATAGACATATCGCTTACAATATTTGGAAGAATAAAGTCAGGTGAAAAAGAGTCCCAAAACTCTGAAGTTCTAGTGCTAAAGGAGTGTTTTGCCAAACAATCTGCAGCTAGATTGGCTTCCCTACAGCATCGAACAAAATAAATAGAAGAAAACTCCATAGCCAATATTGTAGCTTCAGTTATAATTGCAGCATCACTTCCCATATACACATCAGGGTCAGAAACAGCCTCAAGAGCATTCATGCTATTTCATTCAATTGCAATTTGGTGCATCCTATATTAGCAGCCAGAATCAACCCATAACGGATTGCATTTGTTTCCGCAGAATCAGCCGAGAGGACATGAGGCAGAACCCAGGTTGCAGCAACAATGAACTTACCTTGATCATCTCTCGCCACGGCACCACAGGCCCCAGCCAGTGTATCAGCATGGAATGACGCGTCCACGTTGATTTTCACAAAGCCCGAATCAAGTTTCCTCCATATCTGGTCTATCTTTCGGGTTGGCTGGTTTGGTGAATTTACATGAACAAAGTTTGTAGCCGGTACCCTAATCAACAAAGCCGTTCTGTCAGGGTTTTGAATGATTTCCCCTTTTGCCGCTTAAAAGAACTGGTGATAAAAATCTCACGTCAGATTTTTGCACTTTACGAACGACTGAGGCACAAATCTTGAAGCAAGGGAGGTCAAACATGCCAAAGCAAGAATTTGTTAGACAAAAAAAAATCCAACGTCCCGAACACTCTCCTTTTCCCCACTGCACGTCTCTTATACATTTCTCTCGCATCGTGTCACCTACTCCCTAACCACAACGCCAACTTCATTGCATCTCCCCTCCCCCCGCCGCAGGGTATGAAGGAAGAGTGACTGGCGCTGGGCGGCTAGCTAGGCGTAATAGCGGCGGCACCGCCCTTTTGGGTCTACCCACGTGCGGGGCGGAGCGCCCTTCTTTCGTTTTTCTCTTTTGTTGTTTTTCTTTTTGGCTTCTTTAAATCAAATTTTGGATTTCCAAAATATGTTCACGATTTTGAAAAAATGGTCATAAATTTTAAACAAATCCTAGACTTTAAGAAATGTTCATGCATTTCAAAAAATGTTCACAAATTTGGAAAAAATTACAAATTCGGGAAAATGTTCACAAATTTAGAAACAAGTCTTCATGACTTTCATGAAATGTTTGCCGATTCAAAAAATAGTTGTGAATTATAACAATGAACATTTATTGTATTTGATGAAGAAATTTTGAATTAGATGAACTTTGAGAATTTGGTGAACAAATATTTAATTGGATGAACATTTTCTGAATTCAATGAACATATATTGAAATTAATCAACATTCTAGAAAAAAACATGAAGACATTTTTGAATTGTGATGAGCATTTTTTTAATTTGATGGACACACAATTTTCACAATTTTTTAAAAAATATTCTATAATTTTAAAAACTACTCCCTCCGTTTCTAAATATAAGTATTTTTAAAAATTCCAATAAATGACTACATACGAAGCAAAATGAGTGAATCTACACTCTAAAATATGTCTACATACATCTATATATTGTAGTCCATTTGAAATGTCTAAAAAGACTTATATTTAGGAACGGAGGGAGTATCTGTTAAATGGAAAATAGAGGGAATAGGAAAATTAGAAACAAACATGGAAAATAAAAATAAAAGATAAAAATGGTCCAAAACCGGAAGCGGAAGAGGGATCCTGCGCTGGGCCTGCTCAATTCACTGTTGCTCGTCATACCGCCGTGCCTGGCCGAAGTGGCGATGTCCAGAAGCCCGGCCCACCGAATACCAGTATGTGTGTGTTTTTTTAGACACGAAAAGCGGGCCCCGATGCTCCTGCGCATCACACGGTCGCCCTCCAGCCGGCGCACCACCATGTGACCCCCTCGTGTGCTAAGTCTAGAGAAGATTTTCTAAAAAATTAAGTCTAGAGACTAGATAGAGGCTAGAATTTTTCTTTTAAAAAAAAGAAGGAAAAAAAGATAGAGACTAGAAGTACGAACAAGAGACACGCCACGCACGAGACGGGTAAGTAGCCGTAACACGTTACACTTCCACACTAGACGGCTCCACCCCATCAACCAAAACAACCTCGAGCCAGCAACGCCCACGTCCACGGAGACCGGCACCGGCCGACGCCGACGCAGCGCTCGCCGAGTTGTCGCCATGGCGGGAAGGCTGGTCTCCATGCTCCGGTGGCCGCTAGATCTCGGGGGCCTGCCTAGCCAGCTGGCCGCCCTGCTGCCGTCGCCGACGTCATACGCGTCCCTCCAGTGGGACTGGCGGCCGGAGCAGCTCGGCGCGGCCATTCGGCGGTGGCCCGAGCTCGTGGCGGACGTGCCCCTCGTCGTGGACGCCGTGCTCTGGGGCGTCGTTACCGCCGTCGAGTCCGTCGCGCTCATCTCCATGATGTGCTGCTTCTTCCTCTTCTGCGGCTGCACGCTATGAGGGTCATACTCATACCGACGGAGGAAGGATGCAGCTAGTTAAGCTAGTGTACTAGCTATACTATGTACGGTTAGCCTTTCGATTTCTTTGTCGCCATGCTGTGTTCATCATACGTTTGATTCTGCCAAGACATAAGACATTGGCATGGCAATGATTGCTTTAGTACTAATTTGGTAAAAACTCATATCTTTATCTTGGAGAAAAATAATAATCTGGTAGTACCTAGGAAGCGTGAATGGAATTGTGATGTTTTGCGATTGGGTTTTCTTGTCGGCGCTGCACGACGACGATCGATGAGGTAGAATAGGACGGATTTGGGTGACAGGCGCTCTGGGGATCTGTCGGCGAGTGCGTGCGCGGGTGGTGGGAACGGGGGTGACTTCGATTGTGGAAAATATCTCTGTTTCTCATCATCCCGGTCAAGCAATTGCTGTATATAAAAATGGACCATTTCCATTATGTTTTTCTAGAATGGATCTTGTTCCATGTGGAGCTGGAGTATTTGTATATTTGTGTTGTTCCTAATTGGCAGGCGGTTGTGGAGTTGCCGTACAGTCGTACAAGTCTCGTTTGTAAGGTTAGAGCAACTCTAGCGGAATCGTTGTAGGGCTCCAATGGTCCGCGTCGTCCGCTTGGGCGACTCGGGCAGCGTCCAGATCCGATAATCTCGACAGCCTCGATCCACGCACCCTCCCCTCGCCGTCGCCGGCCAGGACCGCCGGGCTTGTCCACGTGACCAACGGCGGCGGCGGGGCTCCCTCCCTGTTGCTGATCAGGTGTGTGTGGTGTTGTGATGGCAACGGCTTGCGGGAATGGATGTGGTTGAAGCAGCGGCGCGGCAGCCTCCGAGCACCGAGAGCACGACTCCCCCTCTTCTGATTGCGTCAGTATCGCCATGTTGCGGCCGCATCAAGCGAAGGAGGGAAAGGACCAACATCTGCCATGACCCTACGTGGTGAGCCTGTTCAAGATCTCACGTGGTGAGCTGTGAGCCTGCTCAAGCCAGGTGCCAACAAAGCCCAAGCGGTGGTGGTCATTCGGTAGAGTCACCCTTGCCACTGGCGGGAAAGCTGCTGGTGTGGGAAGGCAACGTGCACTATACTCCCATGTTCTGTTGGTCGTGGGCGCCTGCGGCGAGCTCTCTTTGGTAGCCATATGCTTCCCCATGTCATGGCGATCATCCGCTCTTGGGCGTGCATATGGCGTTGTGGATCTAGTCAGCACGCTGCTAGGCGGTGTCGATCCAGAGTGGCTGTTTGGCGCTGCTTTCGTGATTACGACATCGTTATGATCTGCTGCCATAAGTGAAGATGATGGAGCTAGTGGCCAGTGGTGTCGTCTAATACAGATCACCTGTCGGCTGCCACTTGTGAGTATGGTGCCGTTGGGAAACGTAGCATGCAATTTCAAAAAAAAAAATCCTACGCTCATGCAAGATCTATCTAGAAGATGCATAGCAACGTGAGGGGGAGAGTGTGTCTACGTACCCTCGTAGACCGAAAGCGGAAGCGTTTGACAACGCGATTGATGTAGTCGAACTTCTTCTAGCTCCGGCCGATCAAGTACTGAACGTACGACACCTCCGAGTTCTGCACACGTTCAGCTCGGTGACGTCCCTCGCCTTCTTGATCCAGCAAGACGTCGAGGTAGTAGATCCGTCAGCACGATGGCGTGGTGACGGTGATGGTGAAGTGATCCACGCAGGGCTTCGCCTAAGCACCACAAAGATATGATTGAGGGTGTAAAGTGTGGAGGGGGCGCCGCACACGGGTAGGCAATTGTCTGTTGTGTGCTAGGCGCCCCCCTCCTCATATATATAGTTGGGAGGGAGGGAGGAGCATCCATAGGAGGCGCCCAAGTAGGAGGAATCCTACTTGGAGTCCCTCCCAAGCCGTCTGCCCTCTGCCATATCACTACAAAAAAAGACACATCTGTGACATTTTGGGCCGAACGAATTTTTTTCTGTCATACATATGACACTTCTATGATGATAATTGTGACAAAACCCGGTATCATCATAGATGTGGTGGGCTCCTACTTCTATGACAAAAAATCATGACAGAAAATGGGCTTTTCTTCCTGGGCGGTCCGGAGATGCAGCTGCATGACATTCTTTGGGCCGTCCATGACGGAAAAAACCATGGTAGAAGTGAGTGCGAGGAAAATTTCGGGGAGTTCCCGGTTACGGTGGGAGGTCGGGGGCCGAGCGATGCGCGTTTCTCTCGTATACGTACGCGCGTGTGTGCGAGGCGTTGGCTCTAACTGAACCCGAGCGAGGCGTTGGGTTCTAATTGAACCCGAGCGATTGCACTGCAGGCTACGCGTTACTGAATCCGAGCGATCGATCGATGACTGTTAACTGAACCCGATCGAGCGATTCCTTCGCTACTGCTGCTAACTGAAACCGG